TTTTGCTGATCCACATTTTTTGTACAGTGTACGGGTTGCTAAGAAATGTGTACACAAGTTGCAGTTCCTAGGGCATCCCATATATCCCTAGACCAATCCAAATTGTTAACCCCTCCATAAAAACAACTAAAAAACAGCTCAAGGACTGTTTTACTGACTGTGTGTAAAGATTTGGAAAATGTGTGTTGCCTGGCCATGCAGAGCTTAGGGGGATCCAATCAAATTCAGCAGCCCCTGCAGGGGGTTGAATTACATTATCTTGCATTATCTGAGCTGGATCTGGGGTGGGACATTTAGAAAAGAGTGGTGTAATGTACTTTATGTATCTGGGGCTATGGAACTGTTTCTGGGCATCCTGGTGGACATGCCCTGGCTAATCAAGACTGATTGTGGACATGCATAGACAAGGGAGGCAGGGTGGGGAATTCCTGTGACTACTAGCCATACTGATAAGAGTTGTCTAAGTGCCTAGCTGTTAATTGGATTAATGTTTAAAGGTTGCATTGTCATGTTTCTACTGGTTACACATCTTATCTAGGCTAATATCCTCAAGAGGGGAATGTCCTCCTGGGGGTATAAAGTATGTGTCTGGGCTTTAATAAAGATGTATTCCTTATGGTTCACTCGCTACAAGGTTGTGTGATGATTTTGGACTTTTGCACTATTTGGATTTAAGCACAGATATCACTGTATGCTGTTAACACTGTGTTATATTTTTTAAGAGTTCTAAGCAAACCGGTCACATTTGGTGCTATATGATTTAAAGGGATAGTGCATCTATTCACTGTTTATAAAAGCACAGGATGATTGAATATTTTAAATGCTTACTTGCAGTATTTTTCCTTTGTATAAATTATTTTTTTATTCGCTTGTAGTGTACCTTGGAAATGCTAGAAAATTTGACTCTTCCAGGAGAGACGCTTTCCTAGCATAGTCTCCCCTCTTTTTGCAGTCTCAAGGCTTTAGGGTATCTACATGAGAGGGACTTTTACATTTAAATAACATGCATTATATATGGTCAGGGCAAAGGGTCTTTTTAAAGCCTAACTCCAAGAACTTTTTTTAAAACTTACATTGGTTCAGCTTGGGCATCTAATCCTTCATTGTTCACATCCAGGGGCCTCGGGGGACAGAGAAGTTCACTGCATTAGCCTGTGATACATACAGTACATTTAGCACTGGTGTCTTTCAGGTGCTGCTCCAGTGGTTTGTCTATGGAGAATGAACACAACCATTCAAAGAACTCCCTGTATTTCTTTTCAGTTAATACAATGCACTCTCTGAATGAATGAGCCAGAAATTGTGAGGACATCCACCTCTCCTCTCTGCCTTGTCCAATGAGAGAACACCTTGTGTTCATTGAAAAAAATTCAAGATGTTCTTTGAATGGCAGAGATTCTGAGAGAGTATTATTATTATTATACAGAATTTATACAGCGCCAACAGTTTGCTCAGTGCATCACAATATAACGGGAGACAATACAGCAACAATACAGTTCAATACAAGAGGGTTAGGATGGCCATGCTCCTTGGAGCTTACAATCTATTCAGTATATAGAAGGAAAGTTGCTTGAGCAGCACCCAGAAAAGGCCAGCACTAGCTGTATGTAGGACAGGCTACTGAAAAGAATTTCTGCATCCCCAGTAGCCCTCTTGATGTGAGCTATGAAGTTTAGATGGAACCACACAGGACCAATATACATTTTAAGAAAAGATCAATCCTGGAGTGCAGTTTTATATTTGATATACTGCACCACGACAGCAGAGAACGGTCATAAATAGCATGAAAAAGCAAACCTGTGCCTGTAAAAGTAAATGCAAAAAAAAGCAATCATAGGGGCCTTTATAATCCAAACGGGGGCAGACTGACCATTTGGAAACTAGGGCACTTCCCGAGGGCCCGGGGTCAGTAGGGGGCCCCATGAGATGCCCCTGGTACCTTTTTCATAGGCTTTTTTGAGTTTGGGCAAAGACACAGGGGCCCCATGATCCCCTATTGCCCAGGGGCCCCATGAGTTGTCAGTCCACCCCTGAATCCAAAGAAAATCCATTGTGGTAGAAAAGTAATTCAGTAGCAAGCACAGCCCAAACACTTCTGGCCAACCCTAAATTGAAATGTGTTATCTGAGCTGTATGGTCCACTAAGAAAAGCACTCTACTTAGCAAGATAATCCATGACACATTGCTAGACAAGTGTGACTATACACCGCAACCCAGATCTAAAGCCTGATACCATCAAAACATCCTCCAACTATGTGGTCTCAACTAGCAGGTCCTAGAAAAAAATGAACCATTATGGGGCTGATTTACTAAAAGAGTAGATCACAGTCACTTTGCTAAGTCAGTGTGCACTTAGCTTAGAGAATGAGGTAACTCACCTTCCAGAGCATACTGAGGAAAAAAAAAAAACAGTAATTTTGCTGGCACATGATTAAATGATATATCGGTAAAGCCTCACCTCAGTCACTAAGCTAAAAAATTGTCGCTTTGAAAAGTAAACATGCTCTACTCCTTTAGTAAACCACCTCAGTGCTGTTAGATTATTCATGGCAATGATTTGTGAATTAGTCATTAAAGCTATTAATACCAATACAGGTCTGTAGATGGAAACACTCTAATTGTGTTCACTGTGAATTACATAACTAAGACAAACCATTGTGGAGTGGATTTGAAAACGTTTATTTTCAATTGGGATACTTAAAAATATAACTAAAAGCAAAACTTTTTTGTTTTAGACAGAGTGGAGAGGAATTATAACATCTACCAGGTCTGTATTGCTGACCGGGCCCCAGTTAGGAAGACTAACCCTTTCTATTTTCTTGTATACCATTATCACCATGAGTGTAAATAAAATGCCACATTTTGGGTTGTCCCTAGAACAGTAACAGAGGGGACACTAGCTCTGGTGATCCTGGTAACAACCAGGGATTCCCTACCTTTGGAGGAGTTTCCTCCTACTTCATGCTTGGATTATGGGATAGGACGTGGAGGGAACTCAACCCAATGGGACACAGATGACAAAACAACTGACATAAACTGTAACTTTATTCAAAATGTAATAAAAGATTTTGCCTTTTGTTCTTCTTTGATAAGAAAAAGAAACTATCAGACGGAAAGCATTAAAGGCCTCATTCACACAGCACTGCATTTTCTATGCAGGATCTTGCTGGCAGAAGCTGCCAACAAAGTCCAGCATTAGTGTTCTGTATACATAACCATCAGGCAACAAACTAACAATACATCCAATCAGCAGGCTCTTTTCTGTGCATAAGTGCCAGTTCGCATATATACGGATTGCATGCAGTTTGAACCACGTCCAATCCACATCACGTGAAAAAACATTGCTTCCTATGGTGCCTGTTCACATATTTCCGGTGCACTGGTGGTGCGGTTTCAGTGCGGTTTTAAAAAGAGTCATGTCCAATTTCTGAGCAGTGCAGTCCGGTTCAGGTGTGGATTACAGGCTATTGACTTCTATGGGAAGCGTATCTAAACTGCATATGTGTGAACAGGATAAGATCCTAAGAGCTAATCCTGACCTGAACCTGATGTAAACCTGACGTGAATTGCTGAACAACTACTGTATCAATTAGCTGTGAAACCTGAGCTTCAATCCGCACTGCACATGTGTGAATCAGCTCTAATAGTCAATCTTATTCAACTTTGAGGGACCATTTACATTGTTGCGTTTTAACACATGAGTTGCAACAAGCTAAAATGCACGTGTTCAACCTCCTCATACTAAAAATATTATCTGTTCCCATCTCAGAGCTACAGTGAAGTATGGTTTGGAAAATATGATGTCTTTTTTTTCTTTTTTCTTTTTGTTTCAGTGCATTGGGATGCTCATAGAAGTCAACCACAGCACATCAAAACACATATAACATGTAATAATAAGCCTTGGTCAATGGCTGTTAATCCTTTCCACTCCAAATTCTAAATTGAAAAAAATGCATTGAAAATGCTCATCAACACATGTCAAGATGCACTTCAACGCGCAAAGGAAAAATATATTGATGCAAGATAACACATTGTTACAACGCTACAAAACAATGCACCTCTTCATACATACACATAGATCTAAATTGGCCCTATAAGTGTAGGTCTAGCCAAAACATTTTTTTCCAAATAGAGTTTTACTTAGTAGAACCCTTGTCAAATATCCATTTCTACCTTCCTGGAGGGAAGATTCACCCTCTCTTGTCACAAAGACAGAAAGTGAGGAGTAAACCAAACTTTTAGAGAAATCTAAACCCTTGTTCTGGCAACAGCTCTGTGGGAGGTAATTTTGCTTACTTTGTACAGATTTCCTCTTACCTTTTCTTGCATGTTTGGGATCAGTAGTGAAGGAAACAAGGGACACAGACTGTACAAATAAATTGACAGGGATTTAACCCTCCCTATTCTATCCAAAACTAAAGTAAACAATATTGGCAATACCTGCACTTTAAATGGTCTTCTGGTTTCCTGGGAAGCTGCTACACCTCGTGGAGACAATGAGGCTGATTTACTGAAGTTGAGAATTTGCTATCAATAAATTGTAGCTGTGTATAGATGATAAAATAAATAAACAAGAATTCTCTAATCACATGATTGGATAACCAAACTGAATCTTCTTTCATTTTATTGAGTGAAAATTCTCAACTCCTTTTGGTTAATCAGCCTCACTACATAAAGGCTTCAACTTCTATTTCACCTTGGAGCTAAGCACTACACACCAGATTCTAGGTCTTTTCCTTCTATTCAATGCAATATTTTTTAAAGCCATTTACATAAAAGAAAGGGTAAATGAAGCCACAATTTAAGCCACACATTGGGACTTTACAGCTATGTCAATGGGTACATGTTTAGAAGTTCTTACCTCTAATAAATTGTATTGTTGTTTTATTGATTGATTGATCTTGGTTCCATTTATATAAATATGATTGCCAAAACATTTACATTGAATATCAACAGACAACTTCACATTAATACAGTACACCAGTATGTAAACATTTTACCTAGTTGGTTCATCAAAGAACATGACTGGAGGATTGTTGACTAGTTCCAGAGCTATAGCCAAACGTTTGCGCTGACCTCCTGAGATGTTTAATGTACGAGTTCCACAGCACTCAAGAAGACCCAGGGCTGTCAAAATCTCATTTACCTGCCAAAGAAGACCATTTATATATTGTATGTGTCAGTTACATGTATCTATACCTTAACCCTTACACCAAACTACCCTACACTCACCAACTTTCTTTTGACATCCATCTTCTCACTGAGTTTCAAGTTGGCAGAGACCTATTTAGGAACAGAAGACAAAAAGTACTGTAATTATATTATGTTTATGCTCAGTATTTCATTTCCCAGCCACCTTAGCATAACTATTGACCTACATCTGTCAGCTTTGTATTCTCACCCATTAGGTCATCTAGAACACTGAACCAAGCTACTAGAATGAAGATAGTTGTGCATCCACTCTGCAATTTACGTGGTATCACAATATCTGTTGGATCACCTTTTTTTTTTTAATTTCTTCTTCCTTCTACAACTATAGCAAGTACTATAATGACTAAAATGCTGTTTTCTATATTGCTTTAGGTATCTAGACCAATTTAAATGTATGTAAACCATAACAATAAAGCTATCTTATTTGGTCCCTTTTGGTCAGTTACATATACTATTGAAAGCATTTTGTTATATCTATTTAAGTGCAAAAATTACCTTTTGACCTTGCCAAAAAATGTGTAAACTGATAACTTCCTGTTCTCTCTGCCTGGACTGGACTCCTATCAGTTGCATTGTTCTGTGGACTATAGAACTCCACCCTCTATGTTATGAGGGTGGAAGAAGAGGAGAGGAGGAAATTTCTTTATTCTTGCCATGCTTCTGTTGTCCTGGTACAGTAAGCGAATGAGCGTAGAAGGCAGAAGATTGAGAACAGAAAAGAGACCAAGCTGTCCATAGCATCTGTCCCATTTTTTATTTATATACAGTATGTATAAATATATATATATATTTATATATATATATATATATATATATATATACACACACACACACACACAAACAGGTCCATATATATTTGGACACAGAAAAAGTTTTCAAGTATCTACCAAAACATATTCAAGCTATAGTTATATAATGGATCTGGGCTGAAAGTGAACACACTCAGGTTTAATTTGAGGGTATGTACATCCAAATTGGAGGAAGGGTTTAGAAATTACAGCTCTTAAGAGTAGCCATCCCCCCTTTTTCAAGGGACCAAACCTAATTGTAAAATTGAATATAATCATAAATACAATGTTTATTTTTAATATTTTGTTGAGAATCCTTTACTGGCAATGACTGCCTGAAGTCTGGAACCCATGGACATTACTAAAGACTGGGTTTCCTCCTTTCTGATGCTTTGCCGGGCTCTAACTGCAGCTGTCTTCAGTTGTTCTTTGTTTGTGGCTTTCTGCCTTTAGTTTTGCCTTCAGCAAGTGGAATGCATGCTCAATTGGGTTAAGATCAGGAGACTGACTCGGCCATTGCAGAATATTCCACATCTTTTCCTTCAAAAGATCCTGGGTTGCTTTTGCAGTGTGTTTTGGATCATTGTCCATCCATACTGTGAAGCGCGTGCAATCAACTTTGCTGCTTTTGGCTGAATCTGGGCTGACAGTATATCTCTAAACACTGCTGAATTCATCTGGCTGCTTCTGTCACATCATCAATAAACACCAATTACCCAGTGCCACTGGAAGCCATGCATGCCCATGCCATCACACTGCCTGCACCATGTTTTACAGATGACATGTGCTTTGGGTCATGAGGTGTTCCAAGCCTTCTCCACACTTTTTTCTTCCCGTCATTCTGGTACAGATTAATCTTAGTTTCATCCGTTCAAAGAATGCTTTTCCGGAACTGGTCTGGCTTTTTTAGATGTTTTTTGGCAAAGTCTAATCTGGGTTTTCTATTCTTCAGGCTTATGAATGGTTTGCACCTTGTGGTGAACCCTCTGTATTTGCTCTTGTGAAGTCTTCTCTTGATTGTAGACTTTGACAATGATACACCCACCTGCTGGAGAGTGTCCATCACTTGTCTGGATGTTGTGAATGGGTTTTTATTTACCGTAGAGAGGATCCTCCGATCATCCACCACTGTTGTCTTCCGTGGATGTCCTTGCCTTTTTATGTTGCTGAGCTCACCAGTGTGTTCTTCTTTCCCCAAAATGCACCAGACTGGTGATTTGGCCAATCCTAATGTTGCTGCTATTTTTCTGATGGATTTGTGTCATTTGTGAATCCCTACAATGGCCTGTTTAACTTGCATGGACTGCTCCTTTGAATGTATGATGTAGGTTCACAGCAATAGATTCCAAATGCAAATACCACACTTAGAATCAACTCCACGCCTTTTACCTGCTTAATTGTGGAAGAAATAATGAAGGAGCAGCCCACACCTGGCCATGAAACAGCTTTTGATTCAACTGTCCAATTACTTTTGGTCCCTTGAAAAAGGGGGGATGGCTATTCTTAAGAGCTGCAATTCCTAAACCATTCCTTCAATGTGGATGTACATACCCTCAAATTAAACCTGAGTGTGTGCACTTTCAGCCCATATCCATTATATAACTATAGCTTGAATATTTTTTGGTAAATACCTGAAAAAATCTAAAATTGTGCCTGTGTCCAAATATCCAAATATATATGGACCTAACTGTATATATATTGCCAAAAGCATTGGGACACCCCTCCAAATTATTGGATTTAGATGTTCCAATCACCTTTATGGCAACAGCTGTATAAAATCAAGCACCTAGGCATGCAGACTGCTTCTACAAACATTTCTGAAAGATTGGGTCGCTCTCAGATAAGTCCATCTGTGACATTTCCTTGCTACTAAATATTCCACGGTCAACTGTTAGTGGTATTATAACAAAGTGGAAGCAACTGGGAACAACAGCAACTCAGCCACCAAGTGGTAGGCCACGTAAAATGACAGAGCAGGGTCAGCACATGCTGAAGCACACAACTGTCTGCAGGGTCAATAGCTAAAGACCTCCAAACTTCATGTGGCCTTCAGATTAGCAGAACAACAATGAGTAGAGATCTTCATTGAATGGGTTTCCATGGCCGAGCAGCTGCATCCAATCCTTACATGAACAAGAGCAATGCAAAGCGTCTGATGCAGTGGTGTAAAGCACGCCACCATGTGGAGAGCAGTGAAGACATGTTCTCTGGAGTGATGAATCACACTTCTCTGTCTGGCAATCCAATGGACGTGTCTGGGTTTGGTGGTTGCCAGGAGAACGGTTCGTGCCTGACTGCATTGTGCCAAGTGTAAAGGTTGGTGGAGAGGGGATTATGATGTGGGGTTGTTTTTCACGGGCTGGGCTTGGCCCCTTAGTTCCAATGAAGGTAACTCTTAAGACATCAGCATAGCAAGACATTTTGGACAATTTCATGCTTCCAACATTGTGGGAACAGTTTGGGGATGGCCCCTTCCTGTTCCAACATGAGTGCGCACCAATGCCCGATAGAACACCTTTGGGATGAATTAGAGCTGAAACTGTGAGCCAGGCCTTCTCATCTGACATCGGTGCCTAACCTCACAAATGCACTTCTAGAAGAATGGTCAAACATTCCCATAGACACCCTCCTAAAACTTGTGGACAGCCTTCCTAGAAGAGTTGAAGCTGTTATAGCTGCAAAGAGTGGGCCAACTCAATATTCCATTAAAGTTTATGTGTATGTAAAAGCAGCCATCCAAATACTTTTGGCAATATAGTGTATATATATAGTATATTTTTTTATCCACTTATGATTGGCTAACTCACTACCACTTCTGGAAGTCTATTGAAAGCATCAACTATTCTTTTGGGAAAATTATACTTTCTTAGAGATAGTTATGAACTTTTCTCCTGCTAGTTTGAGGTCATGTCCCCATGTTCTTGATCTTTATTACTGTTACTGGCACAAACAAATAACTTCAAATAGAAAACTATTGCAGCCACCTCATTTACAGACTGGTAACCTGCAATGTATTACATTTGGTGTTGCTATTGGGATACCAAGTGCTGGTATACAGCAGCAGCAGGTGTGATCAGACCAATGTAACTGCATTTAATAAAACTGAAACCTGACTGTGTATGATTAAAGTATGATTTATTAATAATGAAGCAACAACTCATCCATCACCAGCAAATAGAATACAAGGCAAAAGCAAAAATATATGTGAACAGTAAACCAAGTGACAGAATACATACCTAGCAACCTAACTATAAAAATATACTGTATATAAAACAAAAAGAAGAAGACAGGTAAACAGGATAAGACAGGAGATGCAAGGAATAACCAAGGAGACGGATCAGGAAGGGGGCCAGAACTGGGATCAGGATCAAGGGGAGCAGATAAGAGGTAGCAGGGTATAGGATGCAGGTCCTAGAACAGGAACAGAAACACAGTAAGAATCAGGATTAGGAATCAAGTTTAGGAGCAGAGCCTCAATAACCATGTAAGTGGCACACATGCATAAAAATGAGGTACTGAGGGAAGCTAGAGGAGGGATTATATACCTTCTTAGCAGCCAGCATTAGGACTCATTTCTGGGATCTGCTGACTACTGAGAAACACCTGCTGGTGGACACCGGAACTTCACCATTCAGCTCTGGGAACCACAGTGCCACCAGCAGGTGACCCTGGTCCTGATAAAAACACTGTAAGGCCTCATTCACACTGATCTTTTTAACCCAGTGCCCTCCACAGTCTAGCAGAAGTACTGCTACAGGGCAGCACGGCTGTGCAAAATCACGTATATATCCATGATTTGCATTTCTGGTTGGGGGTGCGCGTGCACCACCCTACACGCGCCACTATTGGCTGCTGGGGATGTCAGTCACCGGGTCTCAGCTGGTGATTCCCGGCTGGGACTCGGTGATCATCGGCAGGACTGAGAGGGCAGAGATCTGTGTGTAAACAACACAGATCTCTCTCCTGTCAGCATGGACATGCTGCTTTGTATCTCTCTGCACAGCAGAGAGATACAAAGCAGCATGTCTCCAAAGTAAAACAACACACAGCACACTGTTAACCCTTTGATCGTCCCAGATGTTAACCTTTTCCTGTCTAGTGTCATTAGTACAGTGTCAGTGCTTTTTATTAGCAGTGGCCAGGGGCGAACTGACAACTCATGGGGCCCCCAGGCAATAGGGGATCATGGGGCCCCTGTATCCTTGCCCAAACTCAAAAAAGCCTATGAAAAAGGTACCAGGGGCATCTCACGGGGTCCCCTACTGACCCCGGGCACTCAGGCAGTGCCCGAGTTTCTAAATGGTCAGTCCGCCCCTGGCAGTTGCTGTTAGTCAGTTCCCACCCAGTGTCAAAATGCCTGCCGTAGTTCCTCTATAAGTCGCTAATCGCGCCATTACTAGTATAATAAAAATAAAAATTGCAGTATACATACTGCCATTTGTAGATGCTATAACTTTCACGCAAACCAATTAATATACACTTATTGGGATTTTTTTTAGCAAAGACGTGTAGCAGAATACATTTTGGCCTATATTTATTAAGAAATTTGATTTTTTTTTTCCATTTTTTTTATTGGATATGTTTTATAGCAAAAATTCAAAAATATAGTTTGTTTTTTGTTTTTTTAAAAACGCATAGGTGCTCAAATACCACTGAAAGAAAGCTCTATTTGTGGTAAAAAATTGCATAAATTTAATTTATGTACAGCATTGCATGACCGTCCAATTGTCAGTTAAAGTGACACAGCGCCGTGTCGCAAAAAATGTCCTGGTCAGGAAGAGGGGTACATCCTCTGGAGGGGCACTTCTCTTTTAAAGGCATCTTGCATTTTTTTTCTGCCTCTAAACTCCCCTCTATGTTAGCCTATGTGTCCAGGCACACAGAAGCATTTACGAGTGTTTAGATGCAGGGGCATTTAGATGCCAGAAATACCTCACTGCCAGCATGTTCAGTAGCAGCAGCAATTTGGCAAAAAATACATCTGATGAGCCGAAAGGTATGTAGATGCAGCCAAATGCACTTAAACATGCCTAAATTTGTTTGCATTTTTTTTAACACTACTTTTCTCCTGCCAGGAGAAAGGCGTTTAGAAGAGCTGGGAAAATGCCCAGTACGCATGAGGTCTTAAGTGAAGATGCAGAAAACAATATGCTCTTAAACAAGGTAAATCTTCCATTTCTGATTGCTGCAGGACATTCCTGTTGATTAACTCACCATCATCGCTTCCTTGACTGTTAAATGTGGTAATAACATGTCATCTTGCATTATATAACAGGACATCTTCCTGAATGTTCGTAGCTCCCTCAGCTTTCCATTTACCAATATTTCACCAGTCATTCCACTGTCCCTGTTAAAAACATTTAAATACAGACTTTGGGTTACTCTGGTCCCTATTTATTAAACTATTTTATTAAAGTCCACAATGCTATTACTGTAGGCGCCCTACTCTACCCCCGTACCAATTCAGTTGGCTAGGATGTTGGTGTCTCAGCAGGGCTCCTGCCAGTCCAGCAAAACAGACTGGGATTATAATCAATAAAGAATCGGCTGTTCTCCAGACTTTGATGCTTCTTGTTTTATGAAAATGTCTGGATCACACACCACAAATATTCCACATTTCAAGAGACTGAAGACTCAATGAAGATAATATGAACCCAATATAAAAGGGAAAAACTAACTCACAGGTTTGAGCCCCATTAAAGTGTATGTAAACCCTAACATTGAAATCCTCCTTAACTGCTTTAATTTGATGTTTAACAACGTGAAAGTGAGAACGTTAGGTGAAAATGTTGGCACTGCTCATCAGTAGTACTTCTATAAAATTCTAGGTCTAACAAATCAATAAGTTCACAAATACTTTGCTGAGGTTTTAGATTGGAAGGTTAAAGGCAACAAGGTCAGTTTCCTAAGATTTATAAATGATTTTAGCTGCTTTAGATACTTTATCTCAGCACAAATGTATCAAAATAATTGACCCACATTAATTTTTTTGTCTGAAACAGCAAGCAACATTTTAATAAAATTATCACCAAAAGAAAAAAAGTATGAACCAATCAAGGTGAATTTGCCTGTCTGTCATAAAAATGTTGGAGACTGAATTTCTTGACTGTGGGACGATGCCAAGAATAGCTACTGCAGAATATAAGTGAATAAATTAGAATTTGTGACAAAAACTGATTTATTTGCTGACAGAAACTAAAGGACAAGGTGAAGCCTACTTTTTATACATTATTTTTTGTGGACAGGTAGATCTTTAATTAGTTTATGAAAACCTACAAAAAACCTACAAAATCTTAATGCAGCAAATTACTGGTCACAACAAATCTATTTTCTTGTTATTATGAACCATAATGCTGATTGATACTTTGTGTGAAGTGTATAGGTAGGCACAGGCCCTCAAGGGTTTAGGTGTCACTAACTTGACTAATACTATATTTTAGCAATTTATTTTATTGTTAGGAGTATAATAATCTTTTTTGAATGGTCACTTCAGCTTTGTATGTACTAGTATTTATTTTTCAAATCAGAATAATTCTTATCCATCTTTAGGTCTTTTGAGCATGTTTTGTGTTGGTAGATATGATCTTGCAGTACTTCGCTGGAACACTATATGGATCTTATCAGAGCTTACTGTAGATCAGTAGCTGTATTACAATTAAGCAATATATACAGTGCATTCATAAAGTATTCAGACCCCCTTCATTTTTTTCATTTTTTATGTTGCAGCCTGATACTACAGTTGTTTAAATTAATTTGTTTCTCATTCTCAGTACCTCATAATGACAAAGTGGAAACAGGATTTAGAAATGTCTGCAAATGTATGACTAAGGAAAAAATTAATATCATATTGGCATAAGTATTCAGACCTTTTGAAACAACAAAAGACATTTAGCTCAGGTACCTCCCATTTCTCTTGATTGTTGCTGAGATGTTTATACACCTTGATTGGAGTCCACCTGTGGTAAATTAATTGATTGGATATGGTTTGGAAAGGCACACACCTCTCTATAAAAGGCCTCACAGCAAACAATGCATACTGTATCAGAGCAAAAGCCATGAGGTCAAAGGAACTACCTGCAGAGTTCAGAGACAGGATTATTGCAAGGCACAGATCTGGGGAAGGCAACAAAAACATTTCTTCTGCATTGAAGGTTCCCAAGAGCACAGCGGCCTTCATAATTCTCGAATGGAAGAACTCTGGCACAACCGAGACTCTTCCAAGAGCTGGTTGCCCGGAGAAATTGAGAAATTGAGGGCGAAGGGCTTTAGTAAGAGAGGTAGCTTGAACTCGATGGACACTCTGACTGAGCCCCAAAGAGCCATCACTGCAGCCCTCCACTGATCTGTGCTTTTTGGCAAAGTGGGTAGATGTAAGCCTCTGTTCAGTGCAAAACACACAAAAGCCTGCTTGTAGTTTGCAAAAAAGCACCTGAAGGACTCTCAGACAGCGAGGAACAAGTTTCTTTGGTCTGATGAAACCGAAATTGAACTGTTTGGCCTCCATTCTAAACGTTAAGGAATCCAGGCACTGCTCATCACCTTCCCAATACTATCCCAACAGTGAAACATGGTGGTGGCAGCATCAGGTTCTGGGGGTGTTTTTCAGCTGCAAGGACTGGGAGACTGGTTAGGGTTGAGGGAAAGCTAAATCGAACAACGTATAGAGCTATCCTCAATGAAAACCTGTTCCACAGCGCTCAGGATCTCAGAATGTATCAAAGGTTCACCTTCCAACATGACAACGATCCTAAGCACTCAGCCAAAACAACACAGGAGTGGTTTAGGGACAAGTCTGTGAATGTCCTGGAGTGGCCCAGCCAGAGCCCTGACTTGAACCCTATTGAACATCTTTGAAGAGACCTGAAAATGGCTGTCCATCCACAGTCCCCATCCAACCTGACTGAGCTTGAGAGGATTTGCAAAGAAGAATAGCAGAAAATCCCCCAATCTGTATGTGAAAAGTTTGTTGCATCATACCCAAAAAGACTTCAGGCTGTAATTGCTGCCAAAGGTGCTTCAACAAACTGCTGAGAAAAGAGTCTGAATACTTAAGTACATGTGATAGTTCATTTTTTTTATTTTTAATAAATTCACAGACATTTCTAAAATTCTGTTTTCACTTTTTCTGTCATTATGGGGCACATATTAGGGAAAAAATGAATGTAAACAAATGTAATATTAGGCTGCAACATAACAACATTCTCATTTTGTGTTAATTCTGTGATTTCATTTTCTCATTTTGTGTTAATTCTGTGATTTCATGTTGCCTGTTTACAAATGTATTTGTATTCAATAACTATATATAGCTTCATTTCTTTTCGTGTTAATTTTAGACTTTGACTTTCGTTTGGGTGCAGGTACGTGTCCCTAAACACAGTGTGAGTTCAGGGGCATGCACACGCATGGATATCAAATTGGGAGCAGCAGCTGTGTCCGTACAGCCACTGTGTCCCAATTGACATGAGTGAGACTGCCTGCACATGGATGCATGGAACACCCGTGTATTCCGTGCTGGCAAATAGGGCCCCCACATGGATTTACACTTTAGTTTGCCTGTGTGAACAAAGCCTTACATCTCTTTGAAATGTATTGTTTGAATTACTGTATAGTGCAGCCTTTTTCAACCAGGAGTGAGTCACCAGAGAACCAAGGCTCTCATGAACATTGCTGGATCGGGATGGGGCTCACGTAAGTGTTAGGGTGGACTGGAGGGACTGCTATGCACAGAAGGTTTTTAGGTAAGAAAATATTGAGCCTTTAGAACCACATTAAAATTGTTATTTATTTTACACTTACCATTTTCATATAAATGATTTTTTTAAAATAAAAATGAATTTCTTTATATAACTCCAGTTTGTAAGAACATGGATTAGACATAAGCTCATGACTTTCCCCCCCACTGTGCTATATACAGTTGTGTTCAAAATAATAGTAGTCAGACATCACTAACCTGATCAATCACTGTTTTTAGTAGAAATTATATTTCTACATGGCAAATAATTTACTGGCAGGTGTAGCAGAGTAATAGAAATCCAACAGACCCAACAGTCATGACATGCATGCTGCTGATTCTGTGTAATTGAATCACTAATTGAAAGGGGCATGTTCAAAATAATAGCAGTGTGGAGTTCTGTTAGTAAGGTCATTCATTCTTTGAAAGATAGGTGGCAATTATTGCCCTTATTTAAGGAAGGAAGGCAGCAAATGTTGTACAGTACATTTCTCTCTGAAATTCTGAGGAAAATTCTGAGGAAAACCTGAAAGATGTGGAACAAAGTGAAAAACTACCATTCGAATAGATAGAAGAATAGCCAAAATGGCAAGGACTCAGCCATCAGCTCCAGGAAGATCAAAGAAGGTGTAAAGTTACCTGTGAGTACTGTTACAATTAGAAGACGCCTATGTGAAGCCAAGCTATCTGCAAGAAGCCCCCGCAAAGTCCCGCTGTTGAAAAAAAGACGCGCTGAAGAGGTTACAATTTGCCAAAGAGCACAATGACTGGCCTAAAGAGAAATGGTGCAACATTTTGTGGACTGATGAAAGTAGCATTGTTCTTTTTGGGTCTAGTGGCCGGAGACAGTTTGTCAGACGACCCCCAAACACTGAATTCAAGACACAGTACACTGTGAAGACAGTGAAGCATGGTTGTGCAAGCATCATGATATGGGGATGTTTCTCATACTACGGTGTTGGGCCTATTTATCGCATACCAGGGATCATGGATCAGTTTGAATACATCAGAATACTTGAAGAGGTCATGTTGCCTTATGCTGAAGTGGAAATGCCCTTGAAATGGGTGATCCAACAAGACAACAACCCCAAACACACCAGTAAACGTGCAACATCTTGGTTCCAGACCAACAAGATTGACGTTATGGAGTGGCCAGCCCAATCCCTGGATCTTAATCCAATAGAAAACTTGTGGGGTGACATCAAAAATGCAGTTTCTGAGGCAAACCCAAGAAATAGAGAAGAACTATGGAATGTAGTCCAATCATCCTGGGCTGGAATACCTGTTCACAGGTGCCAGAGGTTGGTTGACTCCATGCAACACAGATGTACAGCAGTTCTCAGAAACAGTGCTTATACAACTAAATATTCATTAAGGCTGGCCATACATTATACAATTATCTGCAGATTTTCTGCCCAATTTCCTTTAGATTTACCTTCAACTATGTAGTGCAAGGGCCTGCCTAATTGGATACAACTGAAAGTGTTGTTTAGGTTTGTCCTCCTATTATATGGTTTTTGGTAAATCTAAACCAAAAATCTGCAGATAATTGTATAATGTATGGCCAGCCTAAGTGACTCAAAGGAAAGCAAAATCTTCAAACATTTTTCAGTTTATATAGTGAATGTTTGAGTTTGTAAAGAAGAATACAAACACTGCTATTTTTTTGAACAGTCTATATTCACTTTTCTTCAATTTTTTTAGAGGAACAACACAAATTTGATATATTTTTCTTCATGTTTTGATTTGGAATAGAATGTGTACTGTTCCCAATGCATTTGTGTGTATGGAAATAATTCTATTTACATACATGTGCTATTAGAAGGATTTTGAGCTTTATTCACTATTTTCCACACACTGCTATTATTTTGAACGTAAAAGTGTGTACTGGGAATTATGCCTGCTTTGTGGTATCCTGAGATGTGTTGCTCGAAATTTTAAGCCTAGGTCTCCGGGAAATACAAAGAGGAGAGTATCCAATGAGCCTGAGTTTATACTTCCAGATAAACAGCTATTGCACAACTGAATTGCCAATATAGGGGCTGTTTTATTAAATTAGAAATAAATGGGAAAACATTTATGTGTAGATAGAAAAATATATACACATTTTCCCCTTTTTATAAGTGATTACATACCCTTTGTTCTCAGTTGCATAAGAGCTGGGAGAGGATAAACTGCAGTACACTGGTCTTCCCAGTGAATGGGTGTGCAGAGGAGGTGTGTCAGGACAGGAATTGGAGGAGAGTAGGCTAAATTCCCAGCACAGCTAGAGAACTGATCATGGTGTGTTCTCCTGCTTATTATGGTCAGCTTTTAATAGGAAAGCAGAGAGACTGGCAGGAACTCTGGGGATTTCACACAAAGGAAGCAATACAAAGAGAACAGGAGACTTTTTCATACAAGTACAGGGTACAGCAGGCACATATCAGGAATATGAAATGTTGGGTTTCCATTTACCTTAAACAGCGTTGTCAGTTCTGGGTCCCTTATTTTTCATTATGTGAGCTGCTTAGAGGATGTGTAATATGAGGTGAACATTATATAACTTTACTGACACTAGCATTATATATTGAAGGACGTTATTATATTTTTCCAGGGATTTATAGTTTACAGTATACATTGGAAACTGAAAAATGGCATATTATTTCTTATAGACACTAAAGATGAGCATAAGCATTTACTGACACCAGTGGGGCAACATGGTGTGCAATACACATCTTAGGCCTCATATGCTATTGTCTTCATAGACCAGATATTTCGTACACATGGCCTTATATTTTACCTTGGAACCAGCTGTTAAATTACTAAAAGCACTGAAAGAAAGAGGTGGCTATTTTCTTTGTTTTTACATGTCAGTGGCTTACCTGTATCCAGCTAGAATATTCATTAATGTGGATTTTCCTGCACCAGAAGGTCCCATAATTCCAATAAGCTCTCTGTTGCAGAACATACCAGACAGGCACTTTAGAAGTGTCTTGTACCCTAGAAAGAGCCCACAGGTGAACACATAAGTCAAGAAACTATTATTCAGGCTAATATGAAATAAATATATCTTGATTTTTTTATTGTTTAGCCAGCAAATGGATCTCTAGGATGCTTTTTTACATCTTATGCTGATTCTATTTACAGCTTGTTTGGAGGAATAATGTTGTTTACAGGCTCCATAGAATACATTTGCATACAAAAGTACTTGTGCTAGCATCATTCTAGTAACACATAGCAGTGATCCACTTTTTTATTAAATGGCTCTGTCCCAGATTCCATTTAAACAAATGGAGCTGCAAAGTATGTTCTGATGTGCTGCCTCTTTAGCTAACCCATAGTGCTCTGAGAATCCTTTGTCACGTAATAAATGTTAATTTGTATTTATAGCTAACACAGAGAGAGAGAGAAATAGATATAAAACAATGGAAAAACTAGACAAAGTCCATATAGCACTGCAATGGGCTCCTAATAGACACAACTACACACTATGGACCATAAAATAAGATTTTACGGCATATATTATAGGACATGGCTGTTTACAGTCACAAAAAGATGCAATATAAGAAACCCAAAGATTTGGATCAAATCAGACTTAACTATCATTTTCTGTCATATTTTCTGTCACAGAAAAAGAACAGGTTCTCTTTTTTAGGCATCATGCTGACACTGATACTTCTCCAGCAATTCTTTACTTCTAGTTTAAGTCTAGTTCCTGTGTAAGCTGTATGTCAGTTGGTATTGGAGCTTACACAGGGGTAAAGATCCTTTCCTCCCTGATATGACAGTGTTCAGGCTTGGCAATTGGATGCTTGGGCTAGAGCACTGCATTCTTAGACAGATGAAAGAAATAAAAATGCCCAATATGTATGACATCATTTGGTCTAGACCAGAAATCAGGCAGCAAATGAAGAAATGTAAAATCAAGTCAGGGGTGTCACATTTACAGAGCTGGAAAGATTTAACTCCTAGGCAATATTTATGTTTCTGAAATGAACATTTCAGGAGAAAAGTGTCATGCGTTTAAAAAGTGGAGGTAAAATAACTCATCTAAGTAAATAGAGCCTATGACAAAGCTCTGCCACTCCACTTATAGTCTTAAATATTCTTGCCACTTACCTCTTCTTCTCCAGCATGGTCCTTCTCTCACGGAATAGGACAACTCTTTAAACTCAATGTCTACAGATGATCTTTTTGGAAGATGGCAGAAACGCCGTGCATCAGTGATGTGGTTTTCCACCTTCTTCAGGTGGGTGGCAAGAAGAGAGGAGTCCTGTACATTTTGGCACTGGCCATCTTCAACTGTACTTGTGTCCTGAATTGCCGAAGGCACCTTTTCTGCCATATGTGAGTGAGATGACTTTCAAGCAGATCCACAATGTCAAAGATCTAGAATAAAGAAAAACCATTAACATTAATTTATAAAATACATTGTAATTTGTCCATCATGTTTATGTTTCCCATCTGTATGACAGCAACATACTATGAAACCTTTTTAATGCTTGCTAGTTTGATGGCTGTTGACCATATTCCTCCTTACCAACACCAACCATAAAACTCTACAATTGTAATACAAATGCTTCAAACATCATCAACAATCTGGCTGTGCAGGAGCTTATTTCCAGAGAATAATGAAATAAGTGGTAAAATGTTTGTGATCGCTCATCAATTGTATAATATAGTTACCTTTCTTCTATTTGCACCTGGAGCATCAAGGTGAGGGTAACATCACAATCCATCATGAACAGGGGCGGACTGACAAATCATGGGGCCCCCGGGCAATAGGGGATCATGGGGCCCCTGTGTCCTAGCCCAAACTCAAAAAAGCCTATGAAAAAGGTACCAGGGGCATCTCATGGGGCCCCCTGCTGACCCCGGGCCCTCGGGCAGTGCCCAAGTTTCCAAATGGTCAGTCCGCCCCTGATCATGCAAGATCCTGGGGAATACTGAATAGCTCAAATCTCTGAGGATGATATGCTTCAACACAGTGCAGGAGTCTTCTAGAAAAATATGAGCTACTTAGCACTTCCTGGGATCTCGCTGCATTGATGGTGAGGTCACTGCCTGCAATACAGAAGCCCGGGGTAAAATAAGTATAATAGCGCTGAGTAAACCTTTTAGCGCTATATAAATACTGTATAATAATAATATTTGTTCTGTCCTAGCTACACGTTTCCCTGTGTGTTACTCGACAGGCAGCAAAACCCTCCCTTCTGCAATAAGCCAGATTGAATGTGATCTTGAAGCTTTATTAACAAAACAGGGTGGGGTGATATTATTGGGAAATACAAATGAGAAATACATTCAATCAATGTATGAAACATTCAAGCACAATTAAATAATTAAGCTACCGATGGTAGTAAGTCCATGCCCACCAGCGATGCAGCCTGTAGGAAATATAATTTCAGTCCACAACATGTGCAGCAGAGAATTATGGCTAGTTCCTTTCCCTCAGTTCTTAAAGTGGTTGTAAAATCACATCTATTATATTCTTTTATCTTTTCTGTTTTAGGAACATATTAAATACAGTATGTGTGTTTTTTTTTAATTATAAAGTTAAATACCTTTTTTGGCTAGCTCTGCTGTGTGGTCACATGTCCTCCCTCTGCTCTCCTTCTCAATCTAAGGAGTGCAGTGGGAGAGGCTGAGATTTCACTATGACGTATTCAAGCTAGCAGAGGGGGGACATTTGACCACACAGCAGCCCTTGGCAAATGAGGCAATTAGCTTTATAATAACAAAAAAATACACAAATTGTACTTTACATGTTCCTGAAACAGAGAGGATAACAGTATATAATAGATGTTACTTTACACTTTACCAAAGGGGAGGAGCAGCTGCAGCAGAATACTCAATCAAGGGAGAAGGAGAGGGGAGGGGCAGGGAGGAGATCGGTTTCACAGTTGTCACACTGACTATGGAAATGACAGGGAGAGAGGGAGGAGAGAGGGAGAGGGAGAGCTGAATGACAGAGGCACGTAATCTGACCATACTGTCAGAGATCAGCAGCCCTATAACCCCTCGTGTGCTGTTTGTAGTTGCTGTAATGTTTCATGTATTGTCCACCCCTCTATTGTACAGCGCTGAGCAAACCCTTTGGCGCTATATAAACTCGATGTAATAATAATAATAATAATGATAAGCATGGTCAGTATGTGCAGGGGAAGACAGGAAAGGCAGGATCAACCAGGTATTGAACAACAAATAAACTGGAAAATTGACAACTTTATTAAGGCCAAACAGTCTCTAGTTTCTGCAAAACAGTAAATTTATTTTGGGTTCCATCTATTGGCCACATTTAATATTGCAGGGAGGATGATGAATTTCCCTGCTGAAAGCAGAACAATATTTCCTAACTTTTGTTTTCCACAGTAGTTGTTATAGTATAGGCAGATCTAGGATGGGGTGTACATGAAAAGTAAGCCTGGTTACCAATCAAGAGTGAACAATTTTGCCACTGGTGATACTGCTGCTTCTTTCAGTCAGTCATGTGGCTGTGTTGTCTGAGCATTTTTCTCTGTATATGCAACCCATGTGGACAGTATGCATGTGTAGGGAAAGTTTGGATGTGTATCCGTGTACAGACCTAAAACGTAAGCTCCAATCCAAAATATGAACAGGCATCAAATTGTTTTGTGGAAGGAACAGATGGTTTGTGCTGCAAAGTCAAGGACACCATCAATCCAGATAATTATCCAGTGGAGAGAATTGTCAATTACCCTGTTATCGCTAGTAGTGGACAACTTAACAGTCACACTAAAACAACATACTTTTGCCATAGTGTGAGATGATGATCACCTGCAGTCACCATCCCGGCCATTTAATGTTCCAGCAAATAGCTGTTGACATTGATAAACTACTTCATTATTCACAAAGTACATATAACATAGCCTAATGTACCTGATCATTGTATAAAAAAAAACAACCTATATATGAATGTATAGTATTTTCCAGAGCAGAGAGGGGTTTTAATCTTTATACAACGTAACAATAATGTTAGCCAATGATGACTTCAGAAAGTTTGGAGTTCAGGTGATCTTCTAAGTCAGTGGTGCCCAACACAAGCCCGATGGCTGTCTCTGTGCATCCCGCTGTGTCTTGGCCTGGTTCTGCCACCTGTTGTACACTTGTCCAGTCCACTTTTCAGAGTGGCAGAAGGGTGTCAGGTGCTGAAATGCTTCCTCAATTCACCATCTGTCGCAGAAATAGACTATTGTCAGGTGGAGTTATCTCTGACAATACAGCAAGTGTAGCCCCACCCTTACTGAGCAGAGAGAACAGGACAGGAGCAGGCTACCATGTAAATGGGCTTAAATATCACTGCCACTGCACTACTAACTTCCAGTGTGTGGGGGGGGGGGGGTTACATTTCAGAGCCACTGACTGCACTGATCACCGATGTTGAGGGGTGAAAGTATGAAGATGATGATTGGTGGTGAAACATGTTTAGCGGGGCCTAGCCCCGGTGACATCACATGTATGCTGAGAACGGGATGTTGCCATTTGTATTTGCTTTTCACTCTTCTATCTGCCGATTCTGTAAGTAACTTTTTATGGTATTTATTTAACACTATTGTGGCTCCCTTGGCTTCTCTTTGGAGGGATACTTGATTGTTGAATCTGTGAGGAAAAAGTTCACTTCTTACTTGGTGTATCGTGGCTGTGAGAGGTCAGATGGCTAATGACAGCATGGCCAGTGCTGCTTAAAAGCATACAGTAGATCTAAGCGCATAGTGATCTCTGTATTGGGATCAAGGGATCTGGTAAGAGGCTGAATATTATGGTGGAGGAATCACTGGGAAAACATTTGTTTACTGAGAGGCTTTCTCATAGGAGTCATTCCAATGTATAAACGACAGAGAACTTTTGTATTGAGCACTGTCTCGGACTTTCATAAAATCTATTTTTACATTGGATTAATTGATGCATAATACACTGAATAGATTTTTGTCTGCACAGAGCATTTTTATTGATGGTTTATATGTTGAGTAATTTTACATTTGATGAATGATTAGGGTAGCGTTCCTACATATAAGATATACTCACGGCCACTTTATTAGGTACACCTTTCTAGTACCCACAGGGTTGGACCCCCTTTTGCCTTCAGAACTGCATTAATTCTTCAAGGCATAGATTCAACAAGGTGTTGGAAACATTCCTCAGAGATTTTGGTCCATATTGACATGATAGCATCACACAGTTGCAGGAGATTTGTCGGCTGCACATCCATGATGCAAATCTCCCGTTCCACCACACATCCCAAAGGTGTTCTTTTGTATTGAGATCTGGTGACTGTGGAGGCCATTGGAGTAGAGTGAACTCATTGTCATGTTCAAAAAAACTGTTTGAGATGATTTGAGCTTTGTGACATGGTGCATTACCCTACTGGCAGTAGCCATCAGAAGATGAGTACACTGCAGACATAAAGGGATGGACATGGTCAACAACAATACTTAGGTAGACAGTGGTGTTTCAGCGATGCTCAATTGGTACTAAGGGGCCCAAAGTGTGCCAAGATAAATCCCTTACACCATTATACCACCACCAGCTTGAACTATTGATACAAGGCAGGATGGATCCATGCTTTCATGTTGTTTAAGTCAAATTCAAACCCTACCATCTGAATGCCACAGCTGAAATCGAGACTCATTAGACCAGGCGACATGTTTCCAATCTTCTATTGTCCAATTTTGGTGAGCCTGTGTGAATTGTAGTCTGTGTATCTTGTTCTTAGCTGACAGCTGGCATCTGGTATGTTATCTTGCTGCTGTAGCCCATCTACTTCAAGGTTCAGCGTGTTGTGCATTCAGAGATGGTATTCTGCATACCTTGGTTGTAACGAGTGGTTATTTGAGTTACTGTTGCCTTTCTATCATCTTGAACCAGTCTGCCCATTCTCCTCTGAACTCTGACATCAACAAGGCATTTTTGTCCACACAACTACCGCTCAGCTCACTGTACTTTCTCTTTTTTGGACCATTCTCTGTAAACACTAGAGATGGTTGTGCATAAAAATCCCAGTAGATCAGCAGTTTTTGAAATACTCAGACCAGCACGTCTGGCACCAACAATCCCCTTTCTTCCCCATTTTGATGCTCGGCTTGAACTTCAGCAAGTCGTCTTCACCACGTCTACATACCTAAATGCATTGAGTTGCTGCCATATGATTGCTGATTGGCTGAT